GGAAATTGAAAGAAAAAGTATTATAAAGAGATCCATTATTATTAAAATCAATGATATAAATAACCCGAGTTGTTGTGTCTCATCCCTTAAGTATAACACCCCTTAAGTATATCATCCCTGTAAATAAATTTGCTTTTGTTTTGTATTTCTTTCCATTTTGAAGTCTAGCACTCCTCAACATGCATCTTTTGTGGAAAGCAAAAAAAAGACATATACTGAGAACAAGACTTTAAGCCTCTTCTCAAGCTGCCCGTTGTTGTCCTGTTTCATGACTTTTGTCCTCTTATTTCCCATGTGTTTATCTTCAACAATCACTCAAGAGCTAAATTTGCAAAGAAATACCATTAAAATGAGGTTCCCATCTTACAGGCTTGAAAGTAGTTACCTGATTAAACTACATGCCTGAAGTTCATAAAATCAAGGTCACAATATGGTCTTCAGAAATACAGGTGCGTTGTATGATGGCACTATGGGTTTTTTACAGTATTTTCACCCTCCTGGACAAAGACAGCACCATGTTCCGGACCTCAAAGTTCTAAGGCATCAAGAAAAATTAAACAGCAGATTAATTTCATTTTACTTTCAAAATGTTTAACATAACACCCACTCTCCAATTTCTTATGTAAAATCATGGTTTGGCCTAAGGCAAGTCTAAGGCCATGCTCAGTAAAGTCATGTGAAGAAACTTTTATTCCTTCACTCTCACACCCTGAAGGGGATGCATATGAGATGGTGTGACAACAGAGAGCCTGTCCAACAAGAAGCTGAACAGCTTCATCTCATATACAGAAGAATTCACGCTTTGTTGGACTGAAATATCAAGACTTCTGGCTACAGAAAGAATGAAGGGGTTGATATGAGACTTTAACAAGGTGTTAAAATTGGTGAATATGTCTATCTGGACTTAAAACAAAAACAAACAAACAAACAAATAAGCTAGTAAAGACTGATCTAAATTACCTTATTTAGAGATTCAAAGTAAGAGATTCAGAAAGCTCTGAATCTCAGATAAAGATTAGACAGCTCCGGGCTGAAGAAAACAGGGTAACACAGAAAGACAAGAGAGATACTGTTCACACTGTAGAGAGTAAATTCATGTGGCCAAAGCTCAATTAAGGTCCAAACTCAATAGCACTGTGAAGGACAACAAAAGGGGCTCCTTTGTTAAATATGTTAACTAAAAAAGAAGAACCAGAGATAATATTCGTCCATTATTCAGTTAGGTCAGTCACCTCAAAAACAAGATGTAGACAAAGCAGAGGCATTTAGTGCCTTTTCTTCCTCTTTCTTTGACACCATTGAGTCCTGAGCTCTGTTTTGGAAGACTGTAATTGGGGAAATTATAAACTCCCAGCTGACTCTGAATTTTTTTGGGACTTGCTGTTTCAACTAGATGCACATAAATTTATGAGAACCACTGTGACCCTGACAGTAAATAGCTGGCCAATGTCATTGCAGAACCTCTCTCCACTATTTTTCAACAGTATTGTGTATCTAGAGAGGTCCCAATCAACTGGAAGCAAATGATCTCCCAATTTTCAAGAAGTGTAGGAAGGAAGACTTTGGTAATTACAGGCCTGTCAGTCTCACTTCAGTGACTTGTAAAATTATGGATAAGTTTTTTCTGGGAGTTAGTGAAAAACACTTGAGACACAATACAGTCATTGGTCATAGCCAGCGCTGGTTCATGAGGGAAGAGTCCTGCTTCACTAAATTAATTTCCTTTTATGACAAAGTCGTCCGTCTAGTTGTCCATGGAAAGGCAGTAGATGTGGGCTCTTCGATCTTAACAAAGCTTTTGATACAGTCTCTCACAGTGTCCTTCTGGACGAAATGTCCAGCACACAGTTTGTCAAGTTCATAATACGTTGGGTGAGCAATTGGTTGATAGGTCAGAAAGTGGGGTTATATCAGGCTGGCAGCCAGTTACCAGTGGGGTTCCCCAGGGCTCGATTTTAGGGCAGTGCTCTTCAGTAGTTTTATAAATTACCTGAATGTAGGAATTAAATGTATATTAAGTTTGCCAATTATAATAAAATAGGAGGAACTGCGCACTCCCTCCAGGGTAGAGAGGCCTTACAGAGAGATGAGGATAAACTAGAGAGCTGGGCAATCACCCACAGCATGAAATTTGACAAGAGTAAGTGCCAGATTCTCTGCCTGGGACAGAGTAATCCTGGTTACATGTAATTGGTGGAGAGACCAGAGAGAAATGTCACAGAGATTTCTTGGTTTGGGTAGATGGCAAGTTGGATACGAGTCAACAATATGTCCTGGTGGCCAAAAGAGTCAGATGTGTCCTGTGGTGCCTCAAGCACGGCATCATCAGCCAGTCGAGGGAGGTGATTGTCCCACTCTACAGTGTGCTGCTGCAGCCCACCTCAAGTCCTGTGTGCAGTTGTGGGTTCCTCAGTAAAAGAAGGACATCAGATTATTAGAGCATATCCAGAGGAGGGTGACCAAGGTGGTGAAAGGCCTTGAGGACAAGGCATACGAGCTCACTCTTTGTTCACCTTGAGAAGATAAGGTTGTGGGTTGTCCTTACCAGACACTACAGCTTGGAGGGCAATGGAGAAGGATCTGCTCTCTCTGACGACCAGCAACAGGACACGAGGAAACAGAATAAAGATTCATCAGGGGAAATTCCTGTTGAACACTGGGAAAGTGTTCTTTGTCAAGAGAGTCATTGGTCACTGGAACAGGCTCCACAGAGAAGAGGTCACAGCACCAAGCTTGTCAGAGGCCAAGGGCTGTCTGGATAATGCCCTGTCATATGGTTTAGTTTTAGATAGTCCTGCAAGGAGCAGGGAGTTGAACTAGATGCACCCCTTCCAACATAAGACATTTTATGATTCTAAAATAAAGAGAGAAGGACTGAGTGACAAGACAAAAATGCAATTTGCTTACTGTTTATTGTTTTTGTTTATTTACAGAGAAACCTGCTTCCTTGAAACACTTATTAATTTAACAAATCTGACAACCCTAGAGATTTAGCAAGGTGACCGTAAATAGGCATATCTTTTTATCTTTGAAATTCAAGAGTATACCCATGGACTTGCTAACTGTTACACTGATGCAAGGCCAGTGAGAGGTAAGAATCAGGCTACTAGACGGTAAAGAATAAATTCATGAACCCATAGGGTACATTATGTAGTTAACTCTCTGAATGTTGCTCATAGCGAATAACAGAAAGGGTTTAGTTTCATTATTTTTAGGTTATTTACAGTAGGATTTGGGGAACTTTTTATTACTATGAACTCTTTTTTTAAGCTAGCATAAAATTTTAGACTATTTCTTCTTATATTTTCATTTTTAAAAGTTTGATAATTCAGGTAACCTGAAATATTTTTGAAAAATAATAATAATTTTTCATATTTTTTTAAAAAATGTCTTCAAAAAGAAAGTTTGAACAGAGTTGAATCATTACTTTTTTAGTGCTTCTTGTATAACAAACAATTGTCCTTTAATAGTTCAACGTCCTAACAAAAATAATTATATGAACTTGGACTTTTACTTAACAAGGCATTCATAGATCACTGAGGAAGAATTTCAGTGGGATTCTTAATAATCTACAGAATGGCATAAACAATCTTAATTTAAGATTATATAGAAACTGGTCTTTAAATAGCCATATAATTGTAAGATGTATTCGGTAGTGGTGGCAGTAAGAAGGAAGATTATGATTTTGTGTGTGTGGCTGCTTTTGGCTTTCTTTTCTAAAAAATATTGACGGGGTTTTTGTCATCTGAACCAAACATTACTGGCAAATATGAGAGACAAAAATGTCTTTGCATATGTCTCACACAAAGGACTTCCAGATGACACAATAAGGGTCCTGGTCTAAAATCAATCCACCTCTAAGATTATCAGATATGTCTGCGAATTTTTTGCTTGACTGTACTAAGCCCTTGCAAAGTTCTCTGATCAATAAATCTCAGATTTTAAAGTACTGATGAAATTATTTTGCAGAGAGCATCCAGTTTGCTGTAACAACATTTTGCTTTCCCAAGCTCACTTTTTGTGATTCTACATGCTGTAAAGGACCTGGCAGTCAGGGTTGGTGGCCTCACCCTCTCAGTCTCCTTGACATGTGTCAGCCGCAGTTCCACGGATGTGGCTATTCACACCTTTGTGCCTAAAAGGATTTTCAGTGCTGTGACAGGTGTATGCAGCAGCACCATGGGACAAGGAGCTAGCTACAGGACACATCCAGCACTGCTATCTACACAACCAACACTTGCCTTGCTATCAGAGCAACTGGCTCAGGTTGCAAGCTTTACTTCTTAAAGAGGACGGCAGTACAAAAATAATAAAAATAACAAGAGTTTTGGGGAGGAATCAGCTTGTCTGCAATAAAACCTGTTTGATGAGTGGGAATATCATTTGCATTGTACTTATGCTCCTATCCTACTTAGAACGGAAGAGTAGTTAATTTTCTCTTGTGGTTTTTTTATTTTCACTTTTTCTCTTTCTCTTTTCCTTGATTTTCTCTTTTCCTTTATTTTCCCTTCTTTCCTCCCCCCCCCCCCTTTTTTTTTTCTTTTGTTCTTCTTTTTTTCTCTTTTTCTTTTTCCTTCTTTTTCCGCTCTCCTCCCTCCCTCCTCTCTTTCCGCCGAGGGCACTGCAGTTCCCGAGCGCTGTCCCGGGCGCCTGGCGCAGTCCCCGCCGTGCGGGGGCGCCCCGCGGCCGCGGCCGCGCTGCGCCTCTTCTCCGGGCACCGCGGTGGGAGGGCCGCGCCGCGCCTCTTCCACCTGCCAGCGGCTTTAAAGTTGCAGCCGGGCGGGACGCGATGACTCGGGTCGCGCTGCCCGGGCCGGCGGCTGTAGAGGTGCTTCGTGGTCTCGCACACGGAGCAGAGCCTTTTTCCACCGTCGCCCCCGCCTGCCCGCCGTCGCCTTTCCACGCGGCGGCAGAGCAGGGCCGGGGAGGGGGCGGCGGGGGCCGGTGCGCCCGGGAGATGCCCGAGCCCGCGGCGGGTCCCCCGCGCGGCGCGGCCGCCGTGGGTCTCGGCGCCTCCGCGCCCCGGCAGCGGCCGGACGGACGCGGGTAGAGCCGGAGCTGCTGCCGCCGCCGCCGTAGGCCCGTGCCGGGCAAGCCATGGAGCTGCCTGACCTCCGCGACGTGGAGCAGAAACTGGGGCGCAAAGTGCCCGAGAGCCTGGCGCGGCCCCTGCGCGGGGAGGAGCTGGTGGCCCGCCCCGCCGCCGCGGCCCCCGGCCCCCGGCACCGCCGCGCCGCCGCCCTGGCCCGTCTGGAGGCGAAACTTCAGCTCCTGAGGCAGGAGATGGTGAGTAGCCGGCCGCCGGCGCAGCCCTCCCGCTCCGCCGCCTCCCGCTCGGCGGCACCGGCCGGGATGGGGACGGCGCTGCGCTCCCCCTGCCCTGCCGGCCCGCCGCGGGAAGAGGCGCTGCCTGTCCCGGGACGCCGCTCCGCATCCATCCCCCGGCGGGGCCGGGCGGCAGCGGGGGCTGCGGGGCCGGGAGGGCAGGAGGCTGCTCGGCGGAGCGGCGTAGAATGAGGAACTTGCCGGTTCTTTCCCTCGCAGCGTGGCAGTTCGCCGGTGACTCGCTGTTGGCTTCTGTTCCTCTGTCAGCTCGTTAGAAGTACTGAAAGCTGGAGTACCAATAAACGAAATAATGCACTAATCTCTCACCTTTGTAAGTGCATTTTCTGCATCGCACCTGTTTCCTGCTGATGACTAGTACCTAAGGAGACACGGGATATTTTTGGGCTGGAAATTTGGCCCAGAATTCAGGGACTTGATTTCTGGACTTCAATCTTCAGAGACTTAATTAGTTCCAAACAGGCTACAGATGATGCACACTAATTCTTGAACAACTATTTATGATTTGGTGGAATGATTTCTTTTTTTTTTTGCTAGTGGTCTGTGATGGGACTAAGGTTTATGTAGTTCGGAACTCTTAACTTGTTTACTGTCTCAATGCAGGCGCCTGTCCTCCTTTGTATGCCACCATCTCAATAAATTTATTTTTTGATGATGCCATAAAACTGGCTTAATTTTTTAAGACAAATGAAAAGAATGCTCTTTGCAAGCAAGTGAGCACCTAGTGAACACTCAGGACATATGATCTTGACAATGCAGGGTACCTCAGATTTGCAGCCACAGTTACCTTCCATTTTTATTAGGGAGAAATTGTTATGTGAGGTCCTAAAAGACTCTTTTCAGTAGCAGTTCTTTGCATAACTCCTGCCACTAAGCTTATCTGAACACAGGATAAAATTTGATCATGTTGACATGAGGATTTTTCTGGCAATGTGTTGAGATAACTTTGTGCAACAGTCTTGGAACATTACCGTTTACAGCAAACAAATCAATCTCAATCTGTGTGAACAAGGGTAATGCCATACCTTCAGTCCCTGTGCAACGTTACATATAGATAGATATAAGTAAAAGGTGTGTGGGTTCATAAGTGTTTTTAAAGAAGAAGCATGCTAGGCAAGAAGAGGAAGAGAATGGATACTTTGAGAATTAATAGCCAAAACGGTAATGTTAATCTTGAGGGGTAATTTATAAATCACACTTGCTATTGTAGGCCTTCAAGATATTTAAGAGATACACACAAATCAAGATATCAACATATTCTGTGGAGACCTTTTAGGCACCTTTCACTATCCAAACAGGGCCAAGAAGAAAGCTGGAGAGGAACTGTTTACAAGGGCATATAGTGATGGGACAAGAGGGAATAGCTTTAAAATAGAAGAGGAGAGATTCAGATTAGATGTTAGGAAGGAGTTCTTTATTCAGTGGGTAGTGGGGTACTGAAATAGATTGCCCAGAGAAATTGTGGGTGGTCCATCCCTAACAGTGTTCAAGGCCAGGTTGGACAGGGCTTTCAGCAACCTGGTCTTTTGGAAGGTGTCCCTGCCCATGGCAGGAAGATTGGAACTAGCGATATCTAATATCCCTTCAAACATAATTCTGTGACTCTATGCTGTTAGTTTAATGATCACTGGGAATTTCAGTTTAGCATCGAGTAACACACTGTCAGCATATCTCTTGTTTATTTTTTAATTTTAAGCTTGCACAATGATTGTAGAATGACCTGCAGGTAGCTTATAATGTCTGGGATGTCAGACTGGAAAGGAAGCAAATAAGGTAGCCAGGGTTCTTGGCATGACTAAAGGAAGCAAATAAGGTAGCCAGGGTTCTTGGCATGACTGTCTGGACGTATCATGGCAATTAAGCCTATTAAGGGAGGGGGATGCCAATGAGTTGCCCATATTACCCTTTCCAGTTGGTCTCTTCACCTAGTTCATACTTATAAGTTTCATGTCACAATCTTTGATTTGCCTCTTCTTCCTCCTGCCACCCAGTTTCCCTCTTTTTCCTTCATGCCCTAAGCATGAACATGTTTTAGTTCCAAAAGCCTTGACCTCTGCTGTTCTTTGTCACTTCAATGACTGACTGAGTTTCACATCTGGACTCATTGCTCTTGCTAAGCAAGGAGAATTCAGTTATACATCTCTTCCCATTTGACTTCCAGTCTGTGTATGCACATTAAACCACCAGTAAAATGACTATTTGTGAAGTATTACTACCCTGTCTGTATCTTATTCCTGCTCTCAGCTGTGTTCTGTAATTCAGACCGTGAAAGTGAACTACCTTCCTGAGGTTTCTCTCTAGTCTCTAGCATTTTCACTATTTCCCTCTATCCTAAAAGTTTCTTAATCGTCTTAATCTGTCACTTTCCCCTCTGCAGTTTTCTTTGTGACATTGTGCAGATTTGATCAATTTAAAAACAATACCAGGTAAAAATTGCGGTTCCTTTCTATGCTTTTTTTCTCTTTTACCGCATATTAGTCAAAACTTCTTATTTCAGACCTCTTTCTTATTTATTGTTCTTTGGCTTTGCTGCAAGGCCTAAGATGCCTTTAACATGTAGAAAAGTAGTTTATAGTTGCTGCCATAGCAAAAAAATGCAAAAAATGGAAAATATTAGAAGTTTAGAAAACCAAGTGTCATCCATCAAGCTGTTTTTTTCTGGTTGTGCTATGATGGCAAATTCTGCAGCCCACTCACTGAATTTTGGATAGATCTATCGATGGTTTTTTTTGCTTGCTCATTTCAGACTTGAGGCAAACTTTTTGTAAGCATATACAAAACAAGGTTATTCAGGCTCTTCTTTTCTAGTCAAATATGGAACAAATTGACAATATTTGACTTGGAAATGCTGGTTTTGACTGCGAGTTACAGTACCTGACAGATTGGTGGGGGATGTGTGGCAACTGTACGTCTCCTGGGTAAAGGTTTTGAGGCTTGCAATTGCTCCTTCAGATCCTTTTGCGGTTCACAGCATATGGTTCTTTTTCCCTCAAGCCTGATTTTGCTGGTAGTCACTCAAATCACACACAAAGCACCACAGAGTATCTTTCTAGAAAGACGGACCTGCTCGGCCTTACTTCCCTTTCCTTATCCTCCACTTTCCCCAACAAGGCCACAATGGAGATTGGGTTGGATCCTGAAAACCTTTGAGTTATAAGGCCATAAATTTACCAGAGTACCAAGATGTAATTGCCAGTGCAGGTCAAAACACTGTGCTCTGGTCAGCCTAGAGTGGAATGAGTGCTTCCTACTAGTTAATGTGCCCCTGATTCAGTATGAAATTTGTCACAATGTTACTGTTAAGCTCTTTTTCCTGTGGTATTTTAGGTGGAATGTTCCATTGGGGAATTAATAATAACCCTTTATAGCCCTTTTTCTAGTGTACCATGCTCCTGAGGTCACCATTCAACACATATAACTTCAGCAGCTATGCACTCCAGTAAATAATCAGTGAGGCTTATTCTGCAGCCTGAAATGATACTGCTTCAAAAGCCTCAATTCTCCTTCACAAGTTCTGAGGTTACTCAAAGGGAGATTTTCCTTAATACTTGAAGAAAGAGAGTGGGTTTTGGGTTTTTTTCCTTTAATTCAAAAGTTTCCAAAATCAACTTTTTAATGCCTTTTTTGAAAGCTAAAAAATTAAAGAATATAGTCTACATTACATGCAATAATTAAAAAAATATTTTGCATAAAAATGTATCAGGCAGAAAAGATACCCTGTGGCTTGGAAGTGAGGGGTGGATGGCAGTGCTGGGACTTTTAAATAAGATTCCTTCTGGTGAACACTGTTGAGGACCAAATACTGTTTATGAGTCTGAAAGTCAAACTGGATATTCTGAGTGCAGCAGTTTTTAGAGTGAAGGATAAAGAAATTGAAACATTCCTATTTTCAAGGAGTGGAGCATGCCAGATTTAGGCTAAACCTATTTGAGATAGAGGTATATTCCTATGCTTTCTCATTCTATTATTTTTTTAGTATAACTATTTTTTAAGGGCTAATTGTAATTGACCCCGGGCAAAATGAAATAGAAGTAAAAGCATCTTTTACTGACTGGAATGAAGGCAAATACAGTCATCATGGTGCCAGTCCTTCTTGGGGGTTTGTGTTGGTTTTGTTTTGCTTTGTTTTCTTGTTGGTTTTTTTGGTGGTTTGGTTTGGTTTTGTTTTATTTTGTTTTGTTTTTCTCAAGTATCCTTAGCATGTCAATGAAGAAGCGAGTTGGAGGGAAAAGCTGTTGTCACTCTCTTCTACCAGCTCTACGGAGTTTGAAGAGTGCTTCAGATTTATTAGATCCACAGCTGCTGGGAGGGGTCTACATTTATTGGTTTCTTTAAAGAAAAAAAAGTCAACAACTGTGATTTGAAACATCTCTTTCTCACTTGCTGTAGGTACAGGCTGCTATTTTCACTGTTTTGTATGATAACATCAGTTGTCTTAACTGAAGCCAAGTCTGGTTCATTGTGCCTAGTCAGCCATGCAAAATTGTGTATCAGATGCTGGGTTTCTATTAGATTAATTGGAATTTTTGCTTAAAATCTTGACTGAAGATAAAATCTCAAATATAAAGTTAGTAGCGGCTAAGCCTCAAGCCTGTGTAGGACAGTTTGATTAACCTTCATTTATTCGTGAGCAGTTATTCAGTGAGGCTCTTAGAAATAGAAAGACATACAGAAATAAAAATTAACTTATTTCCCCAAGTCTTCCTGAAGTTCACTGGAAAAGGTGGCGATCTTGGATCTTGCTAGGAAGTTCTCTCCATACTCTCCAATTCGCATGATGTAGTAAAGGAGTTTGTAATTTTTCACATATAATGCAAATTGGGCAGTGATACCAGGATACTCATGCTAAAAGGCACTTGCAGATTGATCCGTAGGGAACTTGATCAAATCTAACAGGAAAAAAAGTGCAATCTAAACTAGCCAGCACTTTGCCAGGTTTTCCA